TGCACGCAGCGTGCGCGCTGCTGGGTCCCCACAACAGGCCCGGGCTAGGGGAGTTCGCGCCCGGACGCCAGAGCCGCAGCCGCCGAGCGCCATGGCCGCTTCCTTCGGCCGTGACAGTAGGAGCTGCAGCAGCGGCTGCTCCCAAGTCCCGCTGCCCAGGTGGAGAGAACAGCCACCGTCGCCTGGCCCCATGGGCCGCCCCCCTACTCCCCCTCCAGGTACCGCCTGACTGAGTCCTGCCTGCGCTCGGCGCCAGGCCGGACTCTCACTCACCCCGGCCCCGCGCTCCCCCTGTGTCTCCAGCGCTTGTGGAGGAAGGAGGAATGGTGAGCTTGGGGAAGAGGCGGGGATTTGGGGAGGGAGCCAATGGGGGAAGGAGGGAGTGGAGTCGGGGCGGGGGGGAGGGCGGGCGCGAGCCCTTCCGGGCTCCGGAGCCTTTGCTTGTTTGTCCAGTGTCCCGACCTAACATTGGTCGGGATGCGGGACAAACAAGCAAATATCAGGATGTCTGGTCACCCTAGCTGGGTCAGTGCTATAGTAGGGGGTTGAGCAGGTTTGAGCCCATGGAGCATGTGTGTCCTCGCTGGCCTTGCTGAGCTGCTGAAAGAGCTCTTGCAGGATTGCCCTGTGTCTGTGCTAGCCCTGTTGGAAGCTGTTTCCGATGCAGTGCCCTTTGGGTACCTACCCCACAGTTCCTGGCAAAGCTCCCAGAAGCAGTGTGTTCTGGGGTAGCTCAGAAGGCACTATAGGATAGTAACAGCAGGACTGTCAGAACTATATCAGCTTGTCCAGGTCCAGACTGGCATCAAATCAGTTCAGAGTGAAACCCCTTAGAGTGAGCTGGCTCATAGACCTGCTGAGAGCTCGTCTGCTCTGGCTGCTGCTGAGATGCTTATAAAGCAAATGGGACAAAGTTGTCGCATGGGGGTAGCCTGGCTGTTGCCAGTGAATATCCCCAGCGTGGATTCACCCACCCTTGGCCTGCCTGCCAGCTCTGAAAGCTAAAGTGCGTCACTGGGTTTGCTCCCGCAGAATTCTCCCAGGTGCCCTTGAAGGGCTATGTCTTCACTGCACCGTAACTCAAGCTTCATCCACGTGCACAAACCCTTAACCTGAGTGTAGTGGGGCTTGAACTCTAAGTGGCTGGCCCCTTGGGGGTATGGGCTGCTGCTTGCATTAGTGCAGCCCATCAGCTGCTAACCTGATGCTGTGTGTCGCTTGAAGGTTGTTTCCCAGAGTGGCTTCTCTCGCTCTGTCTAACTGCAGTGAAGATGTACCCTCGGGGATTAAAGAGCATTGTGAGGAGCTCCTGCCTGTATTTTCTCACCCTCCGCCCTTGTTGTGCATCTGCCCCTCCACATCTTTCACCAGCCCTAGGCCTTTCTCCCCTCGCACGCTGCCCTGGCTGTGTCTCTCCCCAGCATCCCTAGCTGTGCATCTCCCATGCTGCAACCCCTACTTGTTAGCCCTGAGAGTGTTATCTCCATGTTCATGTTCCATCCAACCTAATCTGCTTAACAGAAATGACCATGACTGTATGCTATTTGCAACAGAGCCGTCAGTCACCGATGAGCTACCTCCCCCACCCCACCTTCAAAAGCAAATAATGACATGCGCCAATGGGCTGTGATTTTGTCTGGTGGAGGATGCAGGGCAGAAGGAAGGGCACTGTTTAATGCAGGCCCTACACTCATTTAAGAGACTGGGGACAGATCTACACTTAAAACGCTGCAGCGAAGATGCTACTACACCAATGGGAGCACGTCTCCCATCAGCGTAGTTAATCCACCTCCGTGAGAGGCGATAGCTCTGTCAACAGGAGAAGCTCTGCAGTCGACCTAGCACTGTCTACACCAGGTGTTAGGTTGGTATAATTGCAGCGCTCCTGGGGTGTGGATTTTTCACAACCCTGAGCGACGTAGTTACACCAGTGTACATTTATAGCGTAGATCTGGCCTGGCTCTGATCTTTAATGGTAGCTTTAGCCTGTTGATTCTGCAGCGAATGAAAGCCCCCTTTTAAAGGCATGGTTCATTGTTGATTGCCAGCTGGAGATGGTGAGCTCTGAATGTAGCTGGAGAGAGGGCCTACGGGTGGTGCAGTAGCACTGGGGTGTGGGGGGGTCCATGTAGCTGATTTCTTTAGGATGCTAAAGAAACTCTTTTCCTGTCTTTCAGCCTCCAGTGTCACCACCTTCACCGGGGAGCCCAACATGTGCCCGCGCTGTGGCAAAAAAGTCTACTTTGGTAAGGACCGGGGCAGGCCAGCTCCCTTAGTGTTCCCTGCTTATGCCCCAGGGTCACTTGTTTGTACTGTGAGACGTTCCTAACAGAGATCAGGGCTAGGTGCTGCACGTACACATAGGAAGAGAGAGGCCTTGCCCCACAGCACTTAGACTCGGTGGAAATGGCCGACAAAGAATTATTAGCCCTGTTTTACTGCTAGGAAGCTGAGGCCCAGAGAGGTTATGTGACCTGCCCAAGGTCGCATTCCAGCAGTGGAACCCAGGTCACTGGACTGAGACTTGGGAGCCTTAACCATAAGGCAGTCCTTCCTCTGCGGGAGGATTTCAGCTGCTGATATGAGGGGCCTGGAGGATGTGACTGCTTCAGTGGAGGGGGTTGTGGGGCCTTTGGGGAGGAGGTATCTGGGAGGCTAAGTGTAGGTGAGTCTAGAATCATAGAATATCAGAGTTGGAAGGGACCTCAAGAGGTCATCTAGTCCAACCCCCTGCTCTAAATTGGTTTAAAATCACATTTTTAGCTAAATTGATGCAACGCTCTAGGTAGAGGAACAGACTGTACGGACTGTAACATGTTTACCTTCTAAATGGAATTGCACCACAATTAACAATAGGCATGTCTCCAACACATGTGCTCATGCAGTCACCCACGCAGAATTTGTAAGGCTGTTTGTAACAGTGCCATCTCATGACTTCCACTAATGTTACAAAGGTTTGGGCCACATTCTCTGAAGTCAGTGACATTCTGCTAACAGGGAATTTGGCTCTTTTGTTACCTAGGTAAGTATCTACATGGTCCCCGGGAGGCGCTGAAGCTGTCACCTCCGAGGGCTGAATAGAGTACCGGGGGAGGCTGATTTTACCCCTTTGCTGCTGCTGTGGTTGGGTAGGAGACAGCTTTCATTAAGTCTCAGTAACACGCTCAGCAGCATGTCAGGGTATGGGTGCAGCTGACTCCCTCAAGGAAGAAGGAAAAGACCCTTCAGTAAAGGCCTAAGCTGTTCTTTGCAAAGGTTTCATGGGATGCTGGCAACACGTCAGCTCTCCAAGAGCCTGCCCATGGAGAGGGTGTTGTGCGGACCCTCTCCACTGGAGGCCTGGTTCAAGAGCAGTCTGGCCCAGCCGTCACACTACTGTCAGCAGGTTTCCCTCTTGGCCATAGGCGCCGACTCCGTGGGTGCTCTGGGGCTGGAGCACCCATGGGGAAAAATTGGTGGGTGCTCTGCACCCACCGGCAGCTCCCCGCCCCAACTTGCCTCCGCCTCCTCCCCTGAGCGCGCCGTCGGGTCCTGCTTCTCCCCCCTTCCTCCCAGCACTTGTGCCACGAAACAGCTGTTTCGCACAGCAAGCCTGGGAGGGACGGGGGAGGAGGGGGAACACGGTGCCCTTGAGGGAGGAGGCAGGGGCGGGGGTGGGGCCAGGGGGGCGCGAGCACCGACTGGCACCAAAAAAAGTTGGCGCCTGTGCTCTTGGCTTGACCTAGACACGGGCTCTTTGGGCAGCAGGGCTAGGGGGTAGGAGCCTGTCAGCTGTGGGAGCTGTGTGAGAGCACTGAGGCTCTCTTGCCCCATGGCAAAGAAGGGGCAGTTCTCAGGTGAATGCTCTCCTAGTGTGGCCAACTGGGACATCTGCAAGATTTCCCACAATCCCTTGGGCGCCCCGTCGGGGTGGTCTCAGCCTGCCTGTAGCTGTGCGGGTTGCTGCCAGGGGGCGAGCTCATGCTGTGGAAGCCCCGGCTCAGACATATTCACGCCAAGGCAGGGAATGAAGAGCTCCCACTGGAATATGTCCCTTCTTGTCTCTGCTCTAGCTGAGAAGGTGACTTCACTGGGGAAGGACTGGCACCGCCCCTGCCTGCGCTGCGAGCGCTGCGGCAAGACTCTGACCCCTGGCGGCCATGCGGAGGTAAGGACTGAGCACATGCTGTGATCTGTTTGCCTCATGTGTGCTCTGGTGCAGACTTTCGCCGCAACCACCTCCCTCCCCTCACACCTGCGCAGGAGACTCACACTGGTGCATGTGCATGTTCAAGCTAGCGAGGGATGGGGTTAGACCTCAGGACTGGATATTTCATTCCCCTGCCCCTCTCCCAATTGCTGCCTTTGCAGCAGTGATGGCCCGTCCCCCAGGGGGCAGTGTCTGGAGTTGGGCTGCACACAGCTGTGATCCTTGGAGACCTGGTGTGACCCACATGGTAAAGATGATCACCCAGACAAGAGGAAGGGATATGTTGCGGGAGCTGGCCTCAGCTCTGGAGCAGAGTCCTTGCACCCCTGGCTAGCATCCCATCTGACCCTCCCACCTCACTTCACACACCTGCTGCTCAGCTGGGCACAGCCTCCTGCTTCTCTCCCAGCTTGGCCAATGGCTTTTCCACCTGTGACCTCTTCCCGGTCCTTGGTGCTCACTGCCCGCGCCTGGGGATCACCAGGGACCGCAGTGGCCACGGACCCCCGAGACAGTCAGTCATCTGAGCGCACTCTGGCTGGCTAATTGTCTGGTGGTTTGGGGACTCCAGGTGGCAGACCCAGGCCAGTACCCAGAATCCTGTATGCCAACAGCCAGGCCTGGGCTCGTGCGGTGTAAAGGGATAAAAGCTGTACTGTAGCGGGTCTGTTCCCCCAGAGTTGATCTGTCGTGGCGTCTCCCATGCGCTAGGTGTGGTGAGAGTGGAGTGCAGGGCTACTAGGAGCAGTCCTGTGCCTCTGGTGGCCGGAAGGCTTTTACCTCTGCCTCCCCATTGTTGCTGGAGAAGATGGGGAACTTCAGACTCCAATCACTGCCTGCATCCAGACTCCAGCCACCACTGCAGGCCCTTCCACCCCTGACTGCTCCTGCTCTGACAGGTCCAAGGCCTTGGCCTCTCTCCTGGGAGGATGCTGCAGTCAGGCAGCATTTCTGGCCCTGCAGCATTGGAGGGGAGGGCTGCACAAAGGGCATGGCCTGTGTTGGACAGACACCTGTGTGCAGTGGGTAGACAATGCTCACGACCTGCATGGCCATGTGGCAGCGGCTGCAACAGGGGCAGGGCAGAGCCCCATGACATTCTGATCCCCCCTCCTCCCCCCGGGATGGTCTCACGGGAATAGCTGCACCCCGTAATCTCATCCCGGGGCTGGGGAGCACTCCCCACATTTGTAAGCTGAGCACCTCTCCTGCCATCGCGTGCTCCAGTGATCTCAGGCGTGCCCACCAGAGGACAGACTGGATTTAAATGGAAAGCTGGGGCTGTTGGCTGGGGGCAGCCCTGGCTGCTGGAAGGCGAACGCGGACATGTGGGGGAGGTTCCCATTGCTCAGCGCTGCTGGACCGCTCGCAGCACAAAGGCTCTGTGGATCCAACCGATGCAGGACATCAGTGAGATGGAGTGTGTGCTCTATGCTCCAGGCGTGAGGGACTGTCTGTGCCATGGAGGGTGGGTTCCAGAGGCAGGCGGGCAGAGTGAGTGCTGCACTAGCAGGGAGACAGCAGCCCAGGCCTGGGGGCATTGGCGGAGCTGTCGGGGGGTCATGCTTGTAGTAGCAAACCAGTCCCATGGGGAGCTTCAGGGCAATGCAAATTAAATGATGTCTCTCCAGGAGCCCCGTGCAGTTGGGGAGGGATGCTGGGGAGCCCCCCCACAATGCACTGCTGTGGCAGGGCTGTGCCCCGGGGAAGGGCATGGGTGAGTGGCCATCTGCATCATGTTCTTCTGCATCTCTTGGGTTGGGTGGCACTGACGTGTGTCTTGCTTTGCCCCCTCACAGCACGATGAGCAGCCATACTGCCACAAGCCCTGCTACGGGATCCTCTTTGGACCAAAGGGTGAGCGTGCTGCACAGAACCGGAGCTGCTGGAGGAAGGGCAGGAAGTGTCCAGAGGCCAGAATGGAGGGTGGAGGAATGGGTTTTTCTCAATGAATCCCTAAGGAGAGGGGTGGGTGGGAGTGTAGGGAGAGGGAGGGGGCCATGGGGCACCTGTCACTGGGCACGTTGCCTCTGCAGGATATTCTCCCATCCCCCCGGCTGACCGTGCCGTGTATCGGTTTGTAGGGCCCCGGAGCAGATAGCCCAGGGGGGTATGTCAGGGTGCCCCGGCACATCCAGTACACCCAGAGGCTCCAGGAGGGAGGGCAGCCCTTTGCTAACTGCGCTACAGCCTTTGCCCAGGACGGGGAAGTGTTGTGGGGTCCGCGGATGAAACCCGAGGCTTGCTGTGTTTTGGAACCCAGCCAGCAGAACACAGATTGAGCACATTCCCCTAGCTCGCTCTAGGGGCCAGGGCCAGGGGTGCACGGGGCTCAGCTGGGCAAGGATCCTCTGGTTCCTTGGCGAGGGCCCTTATGCAAATGTTTCACCTACTGCTCAGCCCCCACTTTTCCATTGGCCCTTCCTGACTATCTGCTCCCCCCTTGGGATCCCTACACTCCCAGCCTGTGGTGCGGCGATGGGGCGTGGTTCCCTAATGTAGGAGGGCAGGCTGCTTGCACTACTGGATCCCAGGCAGGGATGGCCAGGCTCTTGGCCTTCCACTTACCCTCCTTCCCTTTTCTGACCTTCCCCATCCATTTGTCCCTGGCCTCCACGGCCGTATTGGCTGGGGCTCTACGCAACCCCCAGGCTAAGGGGAGGTATCTGCGCTCAGCACCCTGCCTGGCTGTCCTGGCCCTGCCCTTACGTGTGGCTCTTTCTCTGTTGCAGGAGTGAACACTGGAGCTGTTGGAAGTTACATCTACGATAAAGACCCCGAAGCAAAGGACCAGCCCTAAGGAGCTCGCTGCCTCCCTCCTGCCCGCCCGCCCGACACAGGCCACTCTCACTGTTCCCTCTTTCCTCAGCTCCCCTCTGTAGAAGTAGCTTAGCTCCAGGACGGCCAAGCCGTGCGCTGGAGCAGCCCTGAGCCTGGCTGGCCACAGAGCTGTGCTCCCTGCTGTTTGTATTTTGGGCGGGGCGGTCCCGCCCTCTGGATTTTATAATATAATATAAGCTTTGATGTTAAAAACAGAAGTAGAAAGTGTCTCTGGTTGCTCCCAATGTGCCTGACTCTCCTGAGCTCTCCCATGGGGTTCCTTATCCCTCAGGCCCTCAGCCCCCTGCCAGCCATGGGATGGAGGCTTCCTGGATATGACTGGTATGCACTTGGCATCACAGTTCATGGTAGCCCTCTCCAAGCGAGCCCGTCGGCAAGCCCTGGATGATGTGCAGCCAGTGCAGGCTCCTGCTGCGCTGCAGGCTGGGACAAGCTCAGTTCCAGATCATCCATATCTAACAGCAGCTCCTTTCACCGCTGCGGTTCCAGTCGCAAGCAGGAGGACAGAGCTGGCCCCCCAACCCCCCGGTAACATGGGGTGGGGGCAGGGAGGAGTCACGTGGGGGGATGTCACGTGGGGAGATCATGTGCCCCCTTTAGCTGGTGCCCCCCTTTGTGTCCCTCCCATGAGTCGCCCAGCCTTGAGGAAATGGTCCCATGGCCTGCCAGCCCTCCAGCTGGGTCTGCCCAGTGGCTGCTGGCATTCTAGAGAGGCCAATCAGGAACAGATGGCCCACTGGCTGTGTAGGACGGCAGTCTTGCACCTCAGAAACGGTTGTGTTAAGTGTGGGAGTCATTGCTTAAGCAGGCGTTCTCTTCAAGCCCAGGGAGAACGCTTTGGGCTCCATTGTGCCCTCAGTCTGCGAGCTCTGTGCACACACCATGTAGTTGCTCTCCTGCTCGTGTCCTTGTCTGGAGCAATGGGCAGAGCCCGGGCGCAGCTTTCTAGCTACTGGTGGGTTACGAGGCCATATGGCCTATATTCCTTTCAGTCCTGCTGTAGGTGACCACGCTGGCCTGCTGCTGATGAGCATGGGCGTCCCATTTCTGGCATCCGTGCGCTCTGCTGTGTTGCTTAGGGCTAGTGCCTCCTTGGCCCTGAATCCCACCCGCCCGCCTTGTTCTCTGCAGCAGGTGGCAGAATTGGGAGCTTAGACTCTGGGAACAGCTGGAGTGTACATGTGTGATGCCAGCCCCTGGTATGTAGACTGCATGCCCATTCCCAACAGCTGGAAGCAACTTAGTGCACTCTTGGGGCTGCCTAAACAGCTGCTTCTCCGCACTGTGCTGCAAGGAGAGGTCAATCCGTGTGATCCCAAATGTGTTCGCTGGGGTGCTGAGTTTGGCCTGGGAGCTGAGGGTGCTGCTGTGGGTGCACATGTACCCCAGCCTGCACCCCCATTAACACTGAACTTCACAGTGCGCTGCATCCAGGACCATGGGAGGGTCCCTGTGACATGGGCCCTGAAGATAAATGCTAGGGTCTGAATCCATGGCCCTACCCTGTGTGGGAGGAGGGAGCACAGGTCCCTTGTTTGTGCCATACAGCACACTATGGCCCTGGTGAGGGAATGGGCTCGGAGGGGCTGGTGGGAGAGTCAGGGGTGTTGGGACAATGGCTGGAAGTCGGCTGAGTGGTGTGAAGTGTGCAAGGCTCCCGCCTTCGCCCGCTCGGAGGAGACTGTTTGTTGTGTGTGTGTTTTTTAGTCTATTTATAAGCGGATAGAAATGTGCTTTCTGCTTCGGTGAATGGTGTGCACTCCCCAGGTCACCCCCCAGATCACCACACTGGCCATTCACACTGACCCCCTAAGAGGGAATTGGGAGCAAACCTACGGAGCTTGCGCTCTGCCTCCAGCCTGGCCTGTCGCCCTAGGCTAACGTAACCTGCAGGGCCAGCTGCCATGCTCCCACTAGGTACAGGCCAACCAGAACGCACCTGAAACAAGCCAGCAGAACTGATTTCCTGTTATTATTGCTGACAATAAAAGTTTTGAACAACAAGTGGGATGGTCTGACTATGTGGGGGATGTGGTCCTTGCTGTCTGTCACCCAGGTTTATCACATGTCCAGCTCTGATGAGTTAGGACCCTTTGCTCCCCTGGGGTGATCTGGAAAAGCAGACAAGTAGAGGCACTGTACCTGTCTCAGCTGCTTTGTGATGGAGAGGCAATATCTCAGACTGGGGGTTTATTCCTGGCTCTGCCGCTTCCCAGCTGGGTGACCTTGTGCCTGACCTCGTGCCTCAGTTTCCCCTTCCCACCCTTCCCATCCTTTCTCATGTCTGTTTAGAAATGCTCTTGAGGACAGGGACTGTCGCATGGTGTCTGTGCAATGCCTAGCACAATGGGTTGTTGATTTCAGTTGGACCCATGATGCTAGCATAATGCAAAGGAGGCCTGACAAGTTACATGGGTTCTGGAGAGTTTCTGGCATCACACAGGTCAGGGCATGTGATTTTTTTTTTTTTTTTTTTTTTAAACCAGGAGTCCTCGGGTTCTACCCCCTTCACAGATCCTGCTCTCCCTGGTATCTTGCCCGGAGCACCGTCAGTAGAAGCTCAATAGAGCCAACTGTCTCAGCACATTGCTGTCTGGATGGGGGTGATACATGAAGGGCTCATGTTGTACTGCGGGGTTTCTGCTGGAAGTGTCCATTTGGAGGTGGAATATGCAAGAATCGTCCCTTAGCTGCTTCTCATTCTCTGCATCATTTCAGCTCAGTACATGGGAAGCAGTCTTAAATCACTGTCACGCTGGCCTGTTGTCTACCTCCAGCCCCCACGTTTCTGTCGCTGTGGGCTTTACTGTCTACTCAGATGCTGCCCCAGTAGGGTACATGGGGCTTCAGATCAAAGAAGCATCCTGGGAGATGCTAGGGAAGGGATGGAGTGTGACTGACACCTGGAGCAGAGCAGTGCCAGGTGCTGTACCAGCCAAGCAGTGAGGTCTGAAACCCCCCTGCCTGAGTGCCCAGCGCCTGGCTATGGGCATTTCCCCCTTCTGGATCCTGGTCAGGGAGAGGATCCCTGGAACAAACGCCCTGCCCACACTCTGCTAAGTCGCCTTCACTTATTTCCTGAGCTCTCCAAAGGGGCATCCCAAAACCTCTACGGAGGCCCTTTGAAATTCATTCCCCTGGGTGGATCTGGCAGGCCGGGGCATAGACCTGCTCTTCTCCCTAGGGCCTGCAGGGGCCTTGCCCATTCCCGAGCCAGTGGCAAACCCCTGTGGGTTTCACTGTGCCAGCTCCGTCCTCCCCTTGTTTGCCATGGACACAGAGAAGCAGCCTCTCTGCGGCATTGTGCTCTCGCAAAGAGCCACCGCTGCGCTCCTGGCGCAGCCAGAATGTATTAGGGAGTCGGGCCACAGCCGTACACAAAGAGGGCAGCAATGGGGGGCTTTGTGGGGATGGGGGCGGCGGCTCTGCAATGGAAGCAGTCTCTTGCTGAGAAGAACTTCCCCAGCCTCCTGTAAGCTGCTCGGTGTAAGGTGCATAGAGCCCAGCGTGAGTGGAAAAAGAAAACCCCAAGTGCTGAGAGTTGGCTCCAGGGAGGATGAGCAGTGCTACCTAAGGGACAGGCCCCTGCTTCAGGAGCCGCTCGCCTGACATAGCTTTGTAAAGGAAATGACCCAGAACCCAGCCGCACCCCAACATTAACCCCTGGCCCAAATAGCCTGGCTGGGGCTTGGGGCTGGAGTATGGTGGCTAAGCCTCAGCCCTACAGGTGGGGGTGATGTGGAGCGGCCCAGCCTAGCAGTTCCCAGCATTGCTCCTTGTGCATGGTACGGTGGGTGGGACGTGCTTTGCTCGTGGCCCAGCCGTTGTCTCACTCTCTGTGGAGCCAGGATTCCTGGGGAGAGGCAGGTACAGGTAGGGACTTGGCTAGTGACTCCTGTGCAGCTGGGGTGAGAGAGCTTCTTGCTCGCCTCTCTGTCCCTGCACTGCTCTGGGCAGTCAAGCCCTTGGAGGCACCTGGAAGGAGCAGGGGTTAATGGAAAAGTGCTGAGTGGGCCAGCTGACCTAGAGCTTCCCCTGTTTCTCAGCCTTGTCATCACAGGCCACTCAGTCAGCTCACTGCTGAAAGGGCCATGTGGGCTGAGCCAAAACTGCCCCCTCCTGCCCCCGAATGGAGTGCCCAGCAACAGAATGTGTGTGGAAATGGGCGCTAAGTAGCACCGGCGGAGCGAGCAAGGGTTTTGCTGTTGGTGTGCAGGCCTGAAGACGGCCCTTTGAACATGAACCAGCAGTCACCCAGCACCCATGGCTCATAGGCCAGAAGGGACCATCATGATCATCTAGTCTGACCTGCACATTGCAGGCCACAGAACCTCATCCACCCCCTCCTGTAATAGACCCCTAGCTTCTGGCTGAGTTAGTGATGGCCTCAAATTTTGATTTAAAGACTTCAAGTTACAGACACTCAACCATTTACTTGAGTTCAAATCAGCAAGTGACCTGTGCCCCATGCTGCCGAGGAAGGTGAAAACCCCCTTCCTCACCCCAAATATGGCAATCAGACCCGGAACATGTGGGCAACACCCACCAGCCAAAAACTAGAATTCTGTCTAGTAGCTCAAAGCCCTCCTCCATCTAGCGTCCCTTCCCAGCCATTGGAGATAGTTGCCTTTAGCAGACGTGGCTGAGCCACATGCCATTGTTGGCAATCTCATCACACCATCCTCTCCATAAACTTATCAAGCTGAGTTTTAAAACAAGTTAGTTTTGCCCCCACTACTCCCCCGGGGAGAATGTTCCAGAACTTCACTCCTCTGATGGTTAGAAACTGTCATCTAATTTCAAGCCAACACTTCTCGAGGGCCAGGTTATAGCCATCTGTTCTTGTGCCAACACTGGCCCTTAATTTAAACATCAGGGAGGGAGAGGAGTTATTTATCCCTCTGCTGTAGTTAAAGAGAGCAACCCTAACTCCCCTCAGCCTTCATTTGATTAGCCAAGCTCTGAGTCCCCTCTCGTAAGGTAGGTTCTCCATTCCTCCAGTCATCCTCATAGCCCTTCTCTGTCCTGTAGCTCTCGCCACGCTATTGGCCAAGCAGCCAGCCAGGGGATCAGGGCACTACACAGCTGGATGGTATTGCATTGCTGTATTGAAGAAGCTGGAATGGAAGGGCACTCTCTAGGGTGGCGGGCGGTGAGTGCCGAGGGCAGTGCTGCTGCCTGATGGATGTCAGGGGAGAGCCCTCCAGCACTGGCTGTCTCCGTGTTATGGCCAGGGCTGGCTCTGGCTTTCTGGCTGCCCCAAGCAGAACAACAAAGCAAAACAAAAAACCTGCGGCACGGCTGGAGCCAGGGTGCAGGGGGACTCCCTGCCCTGTAGATGTGCCCCGGCTAGCAGGGGGAGGGAGCGGGGGGAGAGAGAGAAGGGGGGCGGCCAGGGCTTCAGCGGGCGCTGCCATGCGGCCCCTCCTGCTGTGCCCCCTGCTGGGAGGGCTCCGCACCACTCCGGTCGGCTGGGAGGGAAGGACGCGGGCTGCCCTTCCTGGCTTGCTGCAGGGTGCTCCCGTCCTCCATGTCACTGCCCCCTACAGGGCGGCCGGAGCGGAACAACAACAACAACAACAACAAGTGGCCGTGCCGCCCTAGGATTGGGCAGAATGCCGCCTCCAACAAGCTGCCGCCCCAAGCACCAGCTTGCTCGGCTGGTGCCTGGAGCCGGCCCTGGTTATGGCGATGGTTATGTGCCTGCTTGGGCATGCTCTGGGATATACTGCACCTTTAACTCTTGGCAATCGTGTTCTTGCCATGTGCAGAGCTATTGAGTCCCGGTCGCTGCTTCTGGCTGTCCCTGGCGCTGGGAACCAACTTACTGCAGCCAAACGGTGTGTGATGGGTGGGTTCCTGCAATGGGACAGGCCTCAGCGTCTGGCTCAGGGGCAGCTCCAGTCTCTCTGGATGCCCTGCACCTGCCTTTCATTGCTGCTGTTTCCCCCAGCCCGCATGGGTGTGGATGAAGATAGCCTGGCTTTGGTGTAGCCCACCATGAAGCTGCAGAGCTGGCTGTGTGGGCACCTCTGCTGGATGCCCAGGAACTGGGACATGAGCTGGGGCAAAGCTAAGAGGGCACGGCTAGCTCTGGGGTCCTGCCTTCCCTTGGAGCTGTTGCAAGGATGAGCCCAACGTTACAGCAGCCTGGGCCTCCTCGGGAGGGTCAGGAATGGCCAAGGGAGCGCCAGGGCCATTCCAGGCTGAATTCTTAGCTGAAGGGCTTTAGTGGAGCACAAAGAGAATTCACTGAGCTCCACTTTCTTTGCCTCCAGTTGGGGGTGTGTGAGAGGCGGGGCGGGGTCTTAGCTGAGAGGGAATTGTGAGCTGGGCGCAACTTAAACAAATACAATAAAGGGAGAGTGGCTGGTGGCCACTGCTGTGGTAGGAATCCATGCTCCCCATCATCCTGGGGCCTTTCAGTGGGAAGGGGCTGCCAGGGCCATTGCTTTGTTTCAGCTAAAAGTCTCTGTTGCTGCTGGGACAAGCTCCTGGTGGCTGCACCTCCCCGTCAGACCCTCTCAGGTCTGAGTTTTCGCCCCATTGCTCCTCTCCCTGGCGCCATCTCTTTAGTGTGACTGGGGCCAGGCAGGCAATGAGGGTTCTTGGCTCAGCCACTCTCCTCTGTGAAGTTCCCAGACCAGTGCCAGCTCAGTGCCATTCCCTTCACCAGCACGGTCTGGGCTGTGGTGTTCAGAGCTCACTCCTTGCTTACCGCACTTGCCAGAGCTTTGTTTTACTCTGTGTTTGGGTCTAACTGGTTGTGCTCAACAAGAGCTTTAACACTGCCTCATCCAGCCGCTCTGGCGGGGCAGCTCAGCCCTTAAAGGCACAGATTCCCCATGACTACATCAGCCTCCTGAGCAAGGTTTGGAGCGCTGCGGTGTGGTTGTTCCCTGTGGGACACTGACCTTCTGTGCATGGTGGGTGGCATCACATTAGCAAGTGCCACTGCTTAGTGAATGTGGTAACGTGATGGCTCAGGCGCTCCAACAGCAGCC